GGTATCTAAACTTTTGTTTGGCATGAATTCATATATTAATATCCTCTCATCTGCTTCAAGGCAGCATCCCAGAAGCCTCACCAGATTTCTATGTTGGAGCTTGGCCACTAACATTACCTCAGTCTTCAGCTCATCCAGACCTTGTAATGAGGTCTTGGAAAGTCTCTTCACAGCAATTTCTTGTCCCTCTCTTATATTTCCCTAATTGGGAACCATAAAAGAAAATAGAATAAACTTTTACTTTCGAACATATTTTCTAATTTTGAAATATCCATAGTAAACTCGTGAAGAACCAAATCAATAAGCATGTTAAATTTACCTTGTAGACAGGACCAAAGCCACCTTCTCCAAGCTTATTTTCATTAGAGAAATTGTTTGTTGCTGCCTCAATTTCTACCAATTCAAAGAGCGGCAGCTCCATATCATCTTCTTTAACGAAAGCATTCCCTAACAAAGAGTTTTTGCATTTATTGAAACTATAAGTTCACAATGTAGTTATGTATTATGTGATAAGATAGGAGTATGTTAATGTTCAATAGAAAGAAATAAATACCTCTAGTCCGTTTCAACTTCCTCCATGCATAACAAGCAACACTGGCAAGTATGGATATTACCCCCAAGACTACACTTAACGATACTGCTAAGGTTGCATCTCCGCTCTTATGAGATTGACTTGATATTAAACCTGTAAGACACCAAAACTGCTCAATCAAGAGTTGCTTTTCCCTATATACAATAACTATTGGCTCTGACCACTAATAGACGTATATAATGTTTCATACATCAGATGGATAAGGCATGAACCTAAGCCTTGAAGAACAACAAAAATAGTAGCCGAAAAACAGAACAGTGATGCATTGAAGAACGCAGCTTTTAATTTCCAAATCATAAATCATGTTAAGAACAAAACTTCTTGAAGAACGCAGCTTTTAATTTCAAAATCATAAATCGGGTTAAGAACAAATCTTCCTCGATTGATCAGCACAAAAAAAAAACATATGTGTGCTTGGGAGTTAGCATTAATGAGAGGCAAGAAGAATGCAGTTCATCAGTGACTACCTATGTCTTCTGCAGCCAAACGTAAATAGAAATCTTGGCCACCATCCGAGGACGATGCAATGTCCATTAGGTCCATGGACCACATAATGCACCCACTTCCACTCCCGCGTATGTCAGCACTAGAAAACCCAGTGCAAGAACAATTCCTCAAACAGGCAGCTTGGCATTCATCCAGGCTCATTGTCCTGTTTACAGTCGCGTTCACTGTGTCTGGCAGAAGCGTTCGGGGAATAGTCACAAATCCATCAGTCCCATTCCTACAATCCAGTTTGGTCTTCCTGACACACCCATCAGAAGTATATCTTACAGCCCAATTTACCGGTGATTTAGGCTCAAACCCTTGCAAGCAACTGCACATTGGAGAACCCTTTGGATCACACGAACCATATGGGCCACAAGCATCAAACCCTTGCAAGCAACTGCACATTGGAGAACCCTTTGGATCACACGAACCATATGGGCCACAAGCATCATACCCATCGCATGGGCCGCTTGGGTTGTACCAGAATCGGTTCCACACGCGAGGCTCATCAAGCCAGATATACCGTTCTGCGACCCCTTGTGGGTTCACAACAAGCCTAGTGATAGTTGAATTGTTAACCACGCCTGTGCTGTAGTAAACCTCTTCCTTATTATTAACAAAATGGTAGGAAAAAATACCTGTATAAGTTAGGGTTACTGGTAGGTTACTGCTGAATTGGAGGCCAGTCCAGGGACCGGACCGCCATCGCAGACTATGGCCATTCCAAAGCATTACTTGGGGATCACCGCGGAGGTCCAAGGCTAGGGTGTAGTTACCAGGGGATGGATCGGTTGAGCTAGACCATGCTGTCAGGTTACGGTTGAGTCCACTTGTTAGGTTCCAACCTAGCTTCATGCCTGGTATAAGGGTATCGGTCGGATGATCGAAACTTTGCCATGCGAAGCTGTTGGAATCGGTTATCTGAGAATCCCTGACAACAAAATTGCCACCGTCCAAGAGTTGCGCCACGGGTTTTCCGACAGCCACCGCCGACGGAGAGGACCAGAAGACTTTAGAGTTGCCATCAGTTACGAGGAGGCTTCCATTGGATGTTAACATCAGGACTGCCGTAGGACCTGAGACCGGATTTTGATGGTTCCCAACCCATAAGATGACCCTCTGCCCTGGGATTCTTGTGTACCATATACCGATGTACCGGTTGTTTTTTGAGCTGGCGGGGGAAAAGAAGCCCAAAGAGAAGGTCCCGTCAAAGGAAACTAAGGTTTCATTGTCAAAGAGGAGCTGAGGGGAAAAGAAGCCCAAAGAGAAGGTCCCGTCAAAGGAAACTAAGGTTTCATTGTCAAAGAGGAGCTGATTTGGGGTTAGGGTGTCTCTAGAAACGAGGTTTCATTGTCAAAGAGGAGCTGATTTGGGGTTAGGGTGTCTCTAGAAACGGAAAGAGAGAGCAAATAGGGGATGAAAAAGAGGAAAAGGACGGATTTTTTGTATGACTTTCTCATGTTTCACAGGACAACTAGCCTTTCACAGGAAAACAAATGAAGGGAAATTTCCTAGTCTTTGCTCATAGCTAAGCAACAAACGAGCAATGGAATTCGTCAAAGTCAACTGAGATGGAAACTTCTATGCTCTGCTGAAAAGTCAGAGAAAATGCAACATCAAATGAAAAATTTTAGGGAAAAATGCTTCCGGCCCCCAAAAACTAAGGAAACGTGCTTCCCACCCCCCAAGACTTGGTCAATGGGTGTTTTACCCCCAAAAATAAAGATTCTGTTCTCTGAGCCCCCAAAACACAAAACCCAAGAGATTAAAATATGTAAAGACCATAATACCCTTCTCTCTCTCTCTTTCTTTTTTTATTAAAATATGATGAGGATTATTTTATTATTTTTATTTTCTCTCTCTCTTTATCATAATGTACTAAGATGATAGTTGAAAATGATTGATGATGATTACTTTATTATTTTTATTGTTTGTATTGGGAGATTGTTAAAGTTACGGGTTAATTGTTAATGTTACGAGTTAATTGTTAATGTTACGAGTCAATTGTTAAGGTTATGAATCCTCTCTCTCTCTCTCTCTCTATATATATATATATATATATATATATATATATATATATATATATATATATATAAATCATGATGTTACTTTGATGATATTAAAATGATTGAAGAGGATTATTACTTTATTATTTTTGTTTTTTATTCTTTTCGTATTTTTAGAATATTCGTTGTTAAGGATAATGGTTGGTTGTAAAGGTTATGCATTGATTGTTAAGGTTACGGGTTGGTTAATAATGTTGGGTTTGTTGTTAAGGTTATGGGTTTGTTGTGTATGTTACGGATTTGTTGTTAAGGTTAACGGGTTTAATTGTTACGGTTACAGTTTAATTGTTAAGGTTACGGTTTAATTGTTAAGGTTATGGGTTTAATTGTTAAGGTTACGGGTTTAATTATTACGGTTACATGTTTAATTGTTATGGTTACGGGTTTAATTGTTAAGGTTACGTGTTTAATTGTTAAGGTTACGGGTTAATTATTAAGGTTAGGGGTTTAATTATTAAGGTTACGGGTCAATTGTTAAGATTATGGATCCCTTCTCTCTCTCTCTCTCGTAACCTTAACAATTAAACCTGTAACCTTAATAATTAAACCGTAACCTTAACAATTAAACCGGTAACCTTAACAATATTAAACTCGTAACCTTAATAATTAAACCCATAACATTAACAATTAAACCGTAACCTTAACAATTAAACCGTAACCTTAACAATTAAATCCATAACCTTAATAATTAAAACCGTAATCTTAACAATTAAACCCGTAACCGTAATAATTAAACCCGTAACCTTAACAATTAAACCCGTAACTTTAACAATTAAACACGTAACCTTAACAATTAAACCCGTAACTTTAACAACAAATTCGTAACCTACACAACAAACCCATAACCTTAACAACAAACCCGTAAACATTAACAACCAACCCGTAACCTTAACAAACATGCATAACCTTTACAACCAACCATTATCCTTAACAACAAATATTCTAAAAATACGAGAAAAATAAAAAACAAAAATAATAAAATAATACTCCTCTTTAATCATTTCAATATCATCAAAGTAACATCATTATATATAGAGAGAGAGATAGATAGATAGATAGAGAGAGAGAGAGAGAGAGGATTCATAACCTTAACAATTGACCCGTAACATTAACAATTAACTCGTAACCTTAACAATTAACCCGTAACTTTAACAATCTTCCAATACAAACAACAAAAATAATAAAAAATGAAAATAATAAAATAATAATCCTCTTCAATCATTTTAATATCATCAAAGTAACATCATGATAGAGAGAGAGAGAGAGGATTCATAACCTTAACAATTTACCCGTAACATTAACAATTAACTCGTAACTTTAATAATTAACCCGTAACTTTAACAATCTCCCAATACAAACAACAAAAATAATAATAAATAATAATAAAATAATCATCATCAATCATTTCAACTATCATCTTAGTACATTATGATAAAGAGAGAGAGAAAACGAAAATAATAAAATAATCCTCATCATATTTTAATAAAAAAGAGAGAGAGAAGGGTATTATGGTCTTCACATATTTTAATCTCTTGGGTTTTGTGTTTTGGGGGCTCAGAGAACAGAATCTTTATTTTTGGGGGTAAAATACCTATTAACCAAGTCTTAGGGTGAGAAGCACGTTTCCTTAGCTTTTGGGGGCTGAAAGCATTTTTCCCAAAATTTTAATGCCTACAAGTAGCAGTAGGCCTCAATGTTCACATGGTCACTCCTCCTGAATCTTAGTCCTTTGCCAGGGGCACCCTTCAGATACCTCACTATCTGGTATACTGTATCCATATGACCCTTCCTCGGGTCATGCATGTAGCGGCTCACCACACTTACCGCAAATGAGATGTCTGGACGTGTGTGACTCAGATCAGCCTGTCCACCAATCTCTGATATCTCTCACGATCAACAGGTTCTCCTGCCTCAGCACTCAGCCTGAAACTCTGATCAATCGGTGTAGCATCAGGCTTGCACCCCAACATCCTCGTCTCTGCAAGAAGATCCAGTGCATACTTTCTCTGGGAGAGAACAATCTCCTTAAGTCCATGAGCTATCTCTATCCCAAGAAAGTATCGAAGCTGACCCTGATCCTTCACTTCAAATTCTTTGCTCAATCTTACCTTGAGCTGAACAATCTCCTTCTCATCATCTTCTGTGATGATCATGTCATCCATATACACTGCCAGCATAGTGATGTGACCTCCACTTCTTCTGAAGAATACAGTATGGTCGGTATTGATCTGTCTGTATCTGTTTGGTGGAAAATTTGTAGTAAAAAAACAATGAAAGAAATTTAATTTGTATTCTCTCGATCTTAATTATAATTTAAATTCCCAATTACAAAAGAGAGGAGAATGATATGGATTCTCCCCTTTGTTTAATTCTGGATTTTTCACGGTGGCGATGGAGTGCCTCCCTCGAATGCTCACGTCGAGTTTGCTCTCCGTTGACGATCGACACGTCTTGATTCACTGGAATAGTATCTTCTCCTCACGGTTTGACGTTGTGGAGAACTTGTGTGGTAAGTTTGAAACTCTTGATGAGTTGATAACTCTGAACGAGTTTGAAACTCTATAAAAGAGTTGATTTAACCGAAAATCGGTTATAAGCTAAGGATAAAGAAGATCCTGTTGCCGATCTCCAAAGCTCCAGCCGAAGGATGAAAGATCCTCTTTTCGCTGCTAAGTCCAAGATCCAAAAAGCCAGCCTCTCCGGTCAAAAAATACAACCCCGAACCCTTCTTTTCTGCCAAGTCGAAGGACCCAATCCGAGCGCCCGAACTCAGTTGAGTTTTCTCTTATTTATAGGAGATTAAGGGGTGTAACCAACCCCTAAATCTGCTCCAACGTGGGCGAGAATCCCTCAAAACGTGGAGGGAAAATGGTTTATATAATCGTTCAGCTCGTGTTTGAACGAGTCAAACATCCAAGTTGGCGTTCAGGACCCTAACTTCGCGTCTTAGACTGGAGACACGGAGTTGGGCACCCGCTGGGTGTTGAAAAACACGAGGGCCGCTCGCGTTTGGTTTGCTGAGGGTTGGAAACGCAGGGGTCGCCTGCGTTTTACTTGTTGAAGCTTGGAAACGCGGGGGTCACCTGCGTTTCAAGAACTAAAACGCGAAAGTGAATTCCGCGTTTTAGAAGAAGCTAATGACTTATAACTTCTTCTGTAGAGCGTTGCAAAGACCGTCATCTTGTAATCTTCATCTTGGCTCCTTGAAAATATAAAAATCGTCAGATTGTAACTCCCGATGTTAATTGTGAAGGCTGTTAAACTAGAGCTTTCCTTGGTTGTTGTGAAGGTCGTCAGATTGTAATCTTTATCGATCTACGTGAAAGTCTTCAAATTATAGCGTTCTGAAAGTCGTCAGATTGTAACTTCCATCATCGGTGTTTGATGGGGGATCAACTATCTATTGTGATTTTAGACAGCCTACAGAACCTCCTCGTAAAGGAGTTGTTGATTCCTTATCGTAAAGGAGTTGTTCTCTGCATTCGCTTCAAAAGCATCTTTGTCGAAGGGATTTGCCACACAGGACCTGTGTGAATGTATGCGTCATAATCCTACTTCTGGAATGTAGGGGTGGACCCCTACATTTTAAACTTGAGACGCGGGTCTCACCCTTGCGTTTTAAATTTGAAACTCGGGTGTGACCTCGGCGTTGTGGTTTTTTGCAACGCGGGTTTGACCTCGGTGTTTTGACTTGAGACACGGATCTCACCCTTGCGTTTTAAATTTGGAACCCGGGTGTGACCTCGTCGTTGTGGTGTTTGTAACGCGGGTCTGAACTCGGCATTTTGACTCGAGGTGCGGATGTGTCTTTCATGCATTTTTGACTAAGTCTTTGAGAT